TCCATGCGTTATCCTGAAATATAAATAAGTAAAATGTAAATAAATAAATGATACATCCTGTCAGTTTCAGAACTCAAAACTTTCTTGTTAGTCTAAAAAAACAGCTGAAGCCAGTCTGCCAAAATGACAGGTTGTGGAATGGGCCACTTTATGACGTAATAGTGAGGCTAAACCCCGCGTCCGCTGAAGAACATCAGAGCCTGCTTCTACATCACTGCCTGTTTAGCTCCGCCCACCGATTTGCGCATGTAGCGTAAATAAGGAGAGAGGCAAATGCATGTCTACAAATCTAACGATTAAGATGGCTCCCAAGACAACAAGATGCTGTACAGTGCCAAGTTGTGGAAAAACAGTTGTGGATGAACTTTATTTTTCATGAAGATCCAGACCGCATCAGTAAGAACTCGGTCCTTTGTTCACTTCATTTTACCGCGGATACATTTACAAACAAGGCACAATTCGGCAGGATATTCAGAAAGATTTAAACTAAAAGACAATGCTGTGGTGACTATATTGGATTCGACAGTAGTGTCACACCACACAAGTGTGAGTAACAGTTTTTATTATGTGGCTTTGTCTGTTATTAAAGATCGTTTGATATGTACTGAGTATTTATTTGTTTTTAACCTAAATCACAACAGCGTCCATGAATGAAGGATGTAGGCTGTCAAACAAACACAACTGTTAGCCAATCTTTACGGTGGCCGAGAGAGCTCAACCCGCTGCAAATGGAAAAAGGCATGCAAATAGAAAAAAAACACCTGCAAATAAAAAACAAAACATCTTCAGCAATTTGACAACACACACGCTGAAAATGCTCACAACACAACCAATAAAAAAATGCATTGCAAATACTCACAACACAAACAAATAAAGAAACGAGCTGCAAATAGACACAGACCACATCGGAAATGTTTAAGGGAACCGCAAAGTGACAAACATGGCTGGGACATGCTCATCAATGTCTACTCTGAAAGGTGAGATTTTTGTTTATTTTAACATCCTGATCATATTCATTTAGCTCTTTTTTGTGGACATTATTAGCCTAAATAAGCTGACAAAATACACAATTACTGTAACTGTGAAAGGTTATGTAAGCTGGCTTACTTTTACAACTTACCTTACAAAAATTAACCATAGCCTACTATTAAAATTAATTAATGCATTTATTATATAAGAAAGATGAAAACAAAAAAATGGTTAGTAACCATGCACAAATTAACCATGGATTTAGGCTACTACACTAACCATAGTTTTAACCATGGTATTTATACAACTGTGGTTATACAAATGGTAATCAATACGCCAAAAAAAACATGGTTAATTTTCGTTTTGTTGGTGTAATTTTGTTGTGATCTGTGCTACTTGCACATTACTGTATTTGGTTGTGTTGTGAGTACTTGCAGCACGTTTTTGTACTTGGTTGTGTTGCGAGTATTTGCAGCACATGTTCTGTCAAACTGATGAAGATGTTTTCTTAATTTGCTAGTGCTTTTTCTATTTACATGTGTTTTCTGAAGTTGCAGATTGTTGGCCACCGTAAATCATAGCAGTGGGCGTTTACTTACGAATATAAACAGCGCTTTCCAATGAGGGGGTCAAACAGAACAGAAAATAGCCTATTAACGTTACTTCTAAATTATGATGTTTTTTATGTAAAAATCTTGATAACATTACAAGTGGACCTCAGAGAAGAGTACAAAATAATAAAAAAGGCAGTTCATGACCCCTTTAAGTACAATACTCAAGTGTATGTACTTTGTTACTGTCCACCTCTGACTGTGCACTGCCTGAAGCTATGGAAGGGTTTGTTCCTCATGTAATACTCTATTGAGCAATCTTTGGAATTGTGAGAGACTACACAGGCTACCTTTATCTTTTAAATGACAATGGCTCTGTGCCATGCGCAAAATATGAATTGTTTTTCATTGCTTGATAAATTAATTTTTTTAAATTAAGTCTACTTAGATCCATCATCAAATCAAAAGAGTAAGAAATAAAGATTGTAATGAAGTTCACAAAGCCACTTGTCTTGATTTATGAACTCATTTACAAAATATTACACACTACTGTTCAAAAGTTTAGGGTTTATATGAGAAAGAAGAAGAAGATACCTTGCCAAGGCTGCATTTATTTGGGGGGAAAAAATATAAAAAAATCACAGCAATAATATTGTACAGTATTAATTTAAATGAACTGTTTTCTATTCTTACATATTTTAAAATGCAATTTATTCCTGTGATGGCAAAGCTGAATTTTCAGCAGCCATTACTTCAGTCTTCATTGTCACATGATCCTTTAGAAATCATTCTGATATGCTGATTTGGTGTTATAGAAAATTTCTTATTACAGGTTTTATCAGTGTTGTGCTGCTTAAAGTCCAATTTAGGTCCGAATGCAATGATAGGATGTCATATCTGCCTGTCAACTTATGTATTTTTATTCCTCAAATCTGGCTTGCGAGATCCACTTTCCTGCAGAGTTTAGCTCTACCCTAATCAAACACACCTGAGTTTGCTAATCAGTTTCTTCAGGATCATTAGAAAATCACAGGTAGGTTTGTTTGATTATAGGGTTGGAGCTAAACTCTGCAGGAAAGTGGATCTCGCGAGCCAGATTTGAGGATCACTGCTGTAGCAGGATGAGCCAGAGGGTGTTTAGCTGGTGTGGAAGAAGAAATTCAGACTCCATTACAGAAGTAATGGAAGTACAGAATTCAAAGAATTTCCAAAATACACAAAGACAAACAACAGGGTAAATCAAGAGTAAACATTGGCAGTGTTTTTATAAGATGGTGAAGTTTTGGGTTTCAGTCAATACAACGAACTTGCAGATTTCTTCTCGACAGGTTAGCTAAACTTCAAGTTAAAAGTATTCCTAATATGTTGGACCTGCTATTAAAAAATGTGTACTTTTACCTGTTGAGACATGCCGTCATTTTATAGACACATGCATGACGCGCGAAAGGTTGTTTGCTAAATAGCTAATGTAGCACAGAAACTGCCAACCCTAGCCTTAATATTTTTGTGGAAACTGTGATACTTTTTTCAGGATTCTTTAATAAATAGAAAGTTCAAAGGAACATCGTTATTAGATTAATTTTTTTTTTTTTTAGCATTTGTTTCTCACAAAAATGTATTCCATCATCTAGCTTCAAAAAAGATTAAATATGTTTCCCTCGTGCCCCCCAGTCTTTCCGTTTTGAAAAAGACAGTAGGGATTTTTGCACACGTTTCATCTGTGTTCTCTCATGCTGTCTGCTTGCATTCATTAGCCAAATATACAGAATAAACAAATTTAAAGCTACAGCCCGAGCATCTGGTATCCACTGCAATGGGACTGAATACAGCTGAGCACAGAAAAAGATGCTGAAGTATTTTTCCTGCTCCCTACGTTAGTGCTTTGTGATCATCTCTGATTGAGACATCACAGAGGTTTGTTAGTTTACGGAGATGTGTGAGTATTCCTTCTGATGGGGAGTAAAGCAAATCACTAGAGGAACTGAATCCAGTACTTGTCATGGATTCATGGCAACACATGAAAGTTAACAAGTTAACTTTCAAAATACAGAAGCCAGGCTGTTACAACATTTAACGATTTTAATACGTAATATGGTTGCAGTTTGTGCCTTTTGCTATGAGCTGCAAATGAGAAAGGAAGGAAAGGAAGGCTTAACGAATTGTTTGCTTTGCCATATCATTTTGTATATCCCCTGTTTAAATGCTTGAACTGTTTTAGTGTAGCCAATATAATAGCATTCACTGGAAAAGACTATTCAACATTGGCTCAAAATGTTTCTCTTTTCTTAAGGGCTGGCACAGATGCATGGACCATTTAAACCACGGATGCTGTGCAAACATGTCCTTTCAAAGTGTACTGTGGAGTTCACGAACGATCAAACCAACAGCTCAATGGAGGACAGTGCGTCAGCTCAAAGGATCCCCTCTGGTGAGCTAAAGTTGATGAAGTCAAAATACTACATTTAAACTATACAGTTGTCAGGGAGAGAGCAAAAGAGAGAGAGAGAGGTTCATCATATCCATGTGTTTGGGTGTGCTCTGGGTTTGAGGAAATGTGTTGAATAACACATTACTGGATGTGCGTCACTTGACACATTTATTGTGAAAAATAATTAACTGAACTGCTGGAGATAATCAAGTGCAGCATTTTGGGTCTCTGTCTGTTTCTCTCTCTCTCTCTTTTGTTCTGTCCCCTTTATCCTGTGACTGTTCAACCTTGGAGTTTTGCTTTTTAAAAACATTAATCAGGGTGCATGACACATTTTGTGCTCTACATTTGATCAGCCATAATATGCTGAGTTGGCGGTTTGTAAAGGCCTCTTTCAGGGAGCAGAACAGCTCATGTGTGTGTGATTGTTATATGTGCTTATATGCATGTTTCCTTGTGTGTTCATGCCTGATTTCATTCCCTTATCTTTGTGATCCCTAGAATGTTCATTGTTGTGGTTTTGGGCTTTGAATAGTTTTGGCTAAATCGAGTCGTCTGTGTTCTATGAGTTCAATATGAACCACATGTTGATTCAAACACATACTCTGTCAGCCATATTCCAGGAAGGTTCATTTGAAATGATGAGACAACAGGATTAAAAAGAAAGGTAAAAGATCCTGGGGTGCATTAGACTGGTTCTTTAGGTCAATTCAAAAGAGTAAGAAAAAAATGAGAAAAAACATCAAATAACTGCCAACACATTTCTCAGCATCATGATGACTCTCGTTAGACAGTGTAGTCTGCAAATGATCATACACTGACTTTTCATCATTTCACAAAACTCACATTTGTTCCTCGAATACTGAATCAATCACCACACAAGAACATTGCATTAAGTTTCATTGGTTTGGACAGTGTATAATAATGGGATAGATCTTCTCCATATGTCAACAGATAATCTGAAACAAGAGGTTGTACAGGCAGTCCCGAAGAATAATTATAAAAATGACTACTAGTTTATTATTAATACTATTATTAATATTAGTAGTGTTATTTAGTGATGCACAATATAGTGGTACCAAGTTTACCAAGGTTTTCTGTACTGGTCGACAATTGGATATGTAATTGTACAGAATTTTATAACTGGTAAATAAAATCTCCAGATCTCAAAATATCTAATCTAACTTTCATGCTTTGTTTATAATGTTGTAAAGCCTTGGGATATTTAATTGTACATAATTTAATAACATGGGTAAATGAAATTCTTAGCAAATCTCAAAACAACTGTCTGTCATGCTTTCATTTATAATGTTGTAAAGCCTTTATTTGTAGTAATTCAAACAATTGATTTTTTGGTGCAGTTTACTTTTACACTTTACATGCAATATAATAGAATTTTAACATTTGTCATTTATTGTTTATCGTCAATAAGGCAAAAATAGTTGTTATCAATATTGGCCAGAATTCCCAGTATTATTACCAATAAAATTGAGGACATTTGAAAATGTAGTGGCAGCATGTGCATATACTGTTGTTCCTTTTTATTTTGGTATTGTTGCTTAGCATTTTCTTTTACTTATTTTGTTGTTTTTTCTTTAGACTTCAAGAGTCCTGAGGAGTGTCCATACGACATCCACATGGTTTATGGTTATTCTGTGGTACAATTTTGTTAGCATGCAGTAGCCTTTCACAGCAGGCATGTCAGCACTTGCTCTGAACCATTTGTTGTGGTAACTAGATAATGGAAAACAATAAGCCAGGTTGAACTCAGATCAGTACCATGGTGCCTTTTGGGGGCTGGATGTGATGGAGATCATAGAACTGGCAGCAGTTGCACTGCTTTGGTTTTAATTTTGCATGCACTTACAACATCCCACACCCTACATGTTGAAATATTCATGGAGACAAATGTTGCTTTCTTGGTATCATTGTTGTAACGAAGTAAATTGTATTACTGTAAATAACATTACACAGGGTTTTAATATGTCATCTTTTTTTCCATAGATTATTTTGGCTGAGTCAGTGGGTGAGTTGCTCTCCCAAGGTCAATCCAATGAGATCACAGGTTTAAAAGTAAATTATTCTCATCTGCACAAATAGGATGATCTAGTGCTGCTCGTCATGTTCACCCCTGAGATAACGGTAAAGGAAAAAGTTCAGCAGTTGACTCTGGTGAAATGTCAATTTTCTCCTTCTAGCCGTTTAACTTCTAATTAGACAAAAGCAATAACCTTTGCAAAATAGAGTCTGAATGTCTGGATTTATTAAGAGACCTCTAATACTTGTCTTGGATGGACTGTCAAAGGCTCTGTGACATTGAGTTGTTTATTGTCTGGTGTCTAGAATTAAACATTAGACTGGGTAATTGCATTTGCGTCTTATGTAGTGTGTCTTAAGTTCACAGTGACATACAGTGGTCATTTATCATTCTGAAGTTTTACAGTACTTGGAGTTTGTTCTAAGACACAATATGAAGAAATGTATGAACAATATTTAGCAATATGCCATTGAGTGTTTTTATTTGTACACTAAAAGCAGAAAACACTCCTTTTGTGATTCAGTGTGGCTGATATATTTTGTGTAGATCAGAGTTAGAGGCCCAAAATGTTCTGTGACCCTTTTTATGACCGAAACCACATCGGTGGTAGTGTAATACCAGTCTACACATTGTGTGTGCAGTAAAATTAATATTTGGGAGTGTATTTGAAGCAAGGAATTTTTAAAAACAAACCTTACTCAGCCGTTCACACAATTAGTTCATTTGAAAAGCAGCATTGTTAGAAACACTGTAAGCATGTGTTTGAACCATGGTAAAGAACTCACTGCACTTTTGTTATTGTGTGTTATGGCCAGTCTTTTGGATGAATGAAACTTAATTTTCATTATGTTCTTGGCACAAAAAATTTCTTCTCCAATCTAATGTTGGTGGGCTATACATATACTGTAAGATCCTGCCACACAAACAGTGTTGTTTTAATCAGTTTGCCAAGACACAACTATAGTCCTGAAGGCCATAAATGGCCATGGAGATACATTAGCTTAACAGCAATCTCTCTTACAAATCTGTAAAAGCAGCCAGATGACCTTTTTAGTTTATCTTTATATAATACTGTCTTTCCCCACCATGGCAGTTTTCAACATTATCAAATCTAAAAACAAATGTTCTGACTGATTAACAGAACCTATAGAAATGTGTACTGATGATTATGTACCTGTGGCTGCTTTCATTTTTTTGCCATCCCCTCAAACATTTGATATATTTAGAGGACAACAATATTCCAGTATACAAGAAGATTTTATTCTTGTTTTTTAACAACCACGGATGCAAAATTAAATTAACTTTCAGTGCAATTCTTGGCAAGACCCAACACTGATCTTGAAGTAGTCTGAGCAAGGCCTCTGAGGTCTGAGAAGACAGAGGGAGCTTTCTGAGCTTATCTTTTGTGCTTTGGTAGGCATTAGTCCTAGTACTGATCTCTATAAGAGGTTGAGCTGATGAATATTTATGTTTGTTGCTCCTCATTCCATCTTTATCTGTATAAGACACCCCGAATTATGGCTGCTAATCCTTTATATCGTTCAGCTTTGCCCTGTGAATTCTCAAAATAAAGATCTTCGATCAAGTGTTGAGTGTGCAATTAAAAATAAAATGCAGGAATCAATAAGAAATGTATTAATTAAAAAATAAAAATGTAATCAAAGTATCTTAAAAAGACATTTTTAAATATTTTCATTTAATATAGTTAAATGAAATGATAACAAAAAATAAATCGTTTCAATGAGCCATGTTGTAAAAATCTGTCTAATTCAGTTACATGTGTACAGTCCAAAATTAATAAGTGAACAGTTAATTGCTGTTTTTAAACTATTGTCAAAAATAAAAAATTTGAAATTGTTTGAGAAAAGCAACTGGAAAATGTTGTTTTTTAAGTATTATTATATTATTAATTATTGTATTTATTTTAAAAACATCCATTAAATCAACAGTCCATTTTTATTAAGTGACACTCCTAATTATAAACAAAATATGTCAAATTTGCTTAATATGTATTTGTGTTTATCAGTTGTTTACTTTGGAAGGGTTCGTAACAAAAAAACATGTAACAAGATTAACCTTTTTAGGACTGTTTTAGCTCAATAGCTCTAAGTCTCTATATAAATAAAATATGAAAAATGATATACTCATGTTAAACTGAATCACATTTTGTGCCATCTTTGAATGGTTTTCCTTTTAAGTTATTGTATTTTTAGAAGTTGACATGGGCTTCCTCCTCTTGTACTTGTTTTCAGTTGAATAGCAATAATTTCATCTGGATAGGAGAAATCAACTTATATCTGTTTAAATAGGCAGCTTTTTCCAGGAATACTTTTTCATTTGAAGGCCATGTATTTTCTGCTGCCAATTCAATCCGGCTTGAAATTAAGCATTCACTAACAGAGCTGAAACACAAATCATGAAAACACTGAACTATGTGTGTATGATTTTACATATTATTCTTATGTTTCTGAATAATCTAAATTTAAGTGTCTTTCCTTCTCTTGAATTCTTACACTTTTCCTTATTTTAGTGGTCGCTGCGCAGCTTTAGTGGGTAAGTCATAAACTACGATCTGATAACCTCATACACAGACTTGCTCACTTTCTGCAGTCCTCTTTTCAGCTCTCTTTGCATTGTTTGCTTGATATCTAGCTGCTGTCCACACTAACAATAGGCAATTAATCAAAAGTGAAATACATCTGACTTAGCATGGTATGTCTGTGCGGAGTCAACGTAAGTACAATTACCAGGGAGCAGGCCAACAAGGGACTTTTTACATTTGAAAATTGAAGGGACTGTTTCTTATTAAAGTCTCAGATCCCTGCAAGTGTTTTGTTTTTCTGTATGCAATATGATTTGTGGCATTGCAAGTATTTAATTTCGGTACATGATTTTGAATCCTCAGCTGTGGATTTATAGTTTATGTAATTCTGTGAACTCTGCAAGTCCTTTTGTCCTCATAATGAGGAAGAGGGAGTGAGAGAAAGACAACGGATGAGAACAGAATGTACCACTAGACTGTTTTGGAATTGTTGTTTATATTAAGAATTTATGGATCCCAGCTGAGCTGTTTAAGTACAGATAACCTTTTTAGATAAGTGTGTACAGTACAGTATGTGTCTTAGAGAGGGTGTATGTATCTGATTATGGGTAAAGGGAGAAGTGCTCCATCACTTAGCCAAGTTAGACCATAGTCAAGTCTGAAACATTCAGTTCTGGCCTGAAAATTCACAAATGGAGCATGATTCAAAAACTGTCCTGATGCCAATATCATAAAGTTATTTTTCATGCATGCACGTGGGATCTGCACATTCTCTTGAGCTACGAAGTGAGAAACGCTTGAAGCTTTCATGATGATGGGTGTTTGTGCAGTCTTTTTGCCCAAAAATGGAAATTCTGGCAGCATTTACTCACTCACATCCAGTTCTAAACTCAAACGATTGTTTTATTGACCACAAAAGTTGAGTTAAGGTGAGTGTTATTGTATAGTATAGTACAAGTGATATGGACTCCTTTTTATTGTGTTTTTTCCATTTTTTTGGAGCCTTTCCTCACCTATTTACTTTCATTATATTAACAAAGTATGGTCAGTACATTCTTCAGACTTTTTTGTTTTGTACTTCACAGAAGAAAGTAAGTCATACAAGTTTGGAATAGCATGAGGGTGAGTAATTGATGACAATATGTTCATTTTTCGTTGAACTTTCCCTTTAATAAATCACAGTAGTAAGTCTCCATGCACTGGATGAACTACTGAAAGAGGTGCATGACACTCTCAACAACTCTTCGTCTGAGATAGTGCAACTTGTTGAAAAATCCCAGGGTCCTCTGTCACATTCTTCTAGATAATTTTCTCTCTCCACATTTAGGTCAACAGCATTGTTAAGAAAAACAGCTGCTGTGAAGAACGCTTAGCAACTGCAATAACTCAAGAGGACGTGGGAGGTGGGCAGCTGGATGGGATGGAATGGATGTGTCAAGATTTGCTGGCATGGACAACAAACTAATCTTTTCACACACCAGATACTTCCACAAGCACATTTTTTTTCAAGATTTCATCAGAACATCAGGCCTGTTTTGGGGAAATAACTCACTAACTCACTAGTTGTCCTACTATGGAGTAAAAAGAATGATTGTGAAATTTCTCAGATTTTCCAATCTTTTTCTTCTTTCTGTTTTTTTTAAACCCAGCTATATGTTAGAGCCAGATAGTCTGTTCCGTGTTTCCAGTGAAGCAAACAAAGCAGGTCCTTGCCTTTTGACAAATAGCACTGCGTTGCAGCAGTCTCCCTGAGCCTATTATAATCTGGAAAAGTATATGTACATTTTTGGCAATGGGTTCTGAGCGAAAACACAACCACATTGTAGATTCATCAGCAAACTCTGATAGAAGCTGATTTCGTTCTGAACCGAGAGCAGTGATGGAGGACTGAGGGTTTTGTCTTGAACATGAAGTCCTCAGACCTATCTGCAAGCTTATCCACCACAGACATTGGAAGCTTTCCTGATTGTCCTCATCCTGGGGTGCCTTTTCTAAAATGTCAAGCGACTAAATAAAGCTGTTTCTGTGATGAAGTAAGAAGAAGTAACAGTTTAAGTCTAGGAAATGACCACCATGAAAAATGAAAAGTAAATTGAAATAGAATTCATTGAATTTATCATTTACTAATCAACCAGAAAGAATATGCATATTTTGAAAATGTATCTGATGTATACGGGTATTAGTTCTGTTTGGGAACCATATGGTTCCATTTTGGGAACCATATTAACTGGTAAAGAGAAGCAATCATTGGATTCGCTTGACATTTTTGAAAAGGCACCCCAGGGTGAGGACAATCAGGAAAGCTTCCAATGTCTGTGGTGGATAAGCTTGCAGATAGGTACATATACTTTTCCAGATTATAATAGGCTCAGAGATACTGCTGCAACGCAGTGTCTGTAGGGACAAAAATAAAATGATTTTGAATGACTAACAGCTAACATTTTTTTTATATTAAAATTAAATGCGATTAAAAATATAACCTTTCTATAACCTGTTGCTGAAAAATATATATGAAACCCCAATCCCAATAATATGCATTAAACTTAGGATTTATTTGTGAAGTGACGTGTGGCGACCCATACTTGGAATTAGTGCTCTGCATTTAACCCAAAGTGCACACACACAGCAGTGAACACATACCCGGAGCAGTGGGCAGCCATTTTTGCTGCAGTACCTGGGGAGCAGTTGTGGGTTCGGTGCCTTGCTCAAGGGCACCTCAGTTGTGGTACTGAAGGTGGGAGAGAGCACTGTACATTCACTCCCACCTACAATCCCTGCCAGTACGAGACTCAAACCCACAACCTTTGGGTTACGAGTCCAAATCTCTAACCATTAGGCCACGACTTCCCCAGAGCAAAATATATTCTGAATGTGTCAAACAGGCCTGCCAAATTGTGGCTGAAGTAGTCCACTTATTAAGAAGGCAACGCAAATCTTTTATCCAATTTTAATATACTCAACCCTTTCCTCATACTGCTGTATTTTTAAAAGGAATAATAAGCCTCTCATAAACAGTGTTCTTCTTTTATAAATGTTATATCAACCCTGATAGACCATGACAATAGTTAAGGCCTAAGAACTGGTTTTCTTGAGCAGTTTTAATTATTATTATTTTTTTTTTAATCTCTAAAAGAAGAACGTTATTGTGTGGAAACAGTGGAGCTCTGTGCACTAGTGATCTCACTGCTCACAGATGATGAGTTGAGGAGGTATATTGATCCGTATCTCTGAATTAACTAATATCTGTCACCTAAGGCAAGTATTTATTCAGTCTTTGGGCATGTTCTCTGTTTTGTCTTGTGATATTGGTCTGTCTGACTATGTATTATGAACACAAGAGGCAGGATTCACTGCAAAAAATGACTTATCTTACTTAGTATTTTTGTCTTTTTTCTAGTCAAAATATCAAAAAATTCTTAAATCAAGATACTTTTACTAGATAAGCCAAATGACTTAAGATATCTTGTCAAGTAAAGTAAAAATAAGTCAAATACTCTTGTTTTAAGAATATTTTACTTACCCCACTGGCAGATACTTTTACTTGTTGTTTGTTTTAAGCAAAATGCGCTTAATTTGTTTTTTTCCCCCTGGAAACAAGACTAAATATCTTAAGTCATTTGGCTTATCTAGTAAAAGTATCTTGATTTAAGAATTTTTAGATTTTTGACTAAAAACAAGACAAAAATACTAAGTAAGATAAGCCATTTTTTGCAGTGTTGAGACATTCCTTCTTTAGTGCTGAATAAAAGATGTCAAAAATATTGAATGACTGTATCTACATAATGCACTAGGAGCGTTGTATGTAACTAAACAATTCAAAGGTTATCTGCTGCTCATTTCATGTTTGTTTCATTAGATGGGTGGCCCAAACAACACTGTTGGGAGATGTGAGTGAAGCTCAAAATCTGGAAACTAGGCACTGCTGACATTATCAAGGGCTTAACTTTGAGAAGTTCCAGAGACTGAGACTAAAGTTAGAAAGTTGTCAGTGTCATACACTGCTGTGTACCATGAGAGTGAGTTCTGCTCTTTACAGGCCATTGTGAATGTGTGTTCAGTATTGATAATTATTGTGATTGTGCAGAATGTTTATTGTAGATCCATCACTATTCCTGCTCTTAAAGCTGGCTCTATTTGAATTCAGTCATGGATGTCACACCTACTGACTGTTTTGGCTTAAATCTCACCCTCTTCTGTCTACTCAGCTGAGACGGGGGTATTGAAGACAAAAAAGGCCAGCACCTTTGTAATGACATGAGAACAGAATTTTCTGTTCCTTTAAGCTCACTTGCCAGTTTGATGAACAAATGAGTTGTTTGAATTTTGGAAATCTACATTTTCATGGTTATTTTGTTCTGAATCGGCAAGTTCTTTTTTGTCACAAATTAGCTTGACAGTAGGCCAGAATCTATTTAACGGGGACTTCTGACAGCTGCTGAGACAGTCTCTGATTCCATTTTGACTGGGAAACAATATTGTTTCTCACATGGACAGCTGCAGATATTCATGCCAAAGGGTTTAGGTTACATTTGAGCAACAGAGAAATTAGACAATACCTAAACACATTTAAAGGGATAGTTCATCCAGAAATCCATGCCATTATTTACTTACTCTCATGTTTTTCCAAATCCATGTACCACATCCAAAATTCTTTTTATGTTCAGCACAAGTAAGTCAGATGTGAAGGTTAATGACAGGATTTTTCTATTTTTGAGTGAACTATCCCCTTAAATCTTTACATGAAGTGTATAAAATGGCAACAGATGTACACTGTATGTGAGAAACTTGCTCCATCCTCCAAATACAATTACCCTGGCTCCAATTCCCTCACTGGTCATGTAACATGTGGCTAATAAATTGCCACAGAGCATTACTCCGTTCTGTACACATATATTACTGTTGATTCAAACAAACCCCAATACCCCAAATTCTCTGCTTCATTTAAGCCGCAGAGTCTTTGTTTTAATAGCTTTGATTAGTGAGAGGACGCTGAAGGAATACTTGAGAAGATCCAGATGCTTTTCCTTCGCATGTCTCTCTCACAGCTTTACAGAGTATGGCATGTGGTGGATGGATGTGAGAAGGAAAGGGTGGGAGAAAGAGAGAGAGAGAGAAAGAGAGTATGACTGATCTCAAATTAAACTGGATGTAGTGAAAGAGAACATAAAGAGAAAATAAAGCAAGACCAAGGCACACATGCACAGTGTAGTGGATCTGAAGAAGCTTCTTGGTACCCTTAGGCATTGGACAGGCATATGGGTATGATCAGAAGGGTGTATTGTGGTCTTGATGGAGACCATGTTGGACATGTTGAATACCGGCCGATTTAGCTCAGATGTTGCACCAACAAACTGCACAATTAAGCTACATGAAGTTATTACGTGAATATTGTTTGTTGGTGAAAGTATATTAAAAACGTTTTCTTTATTAATTATATTTTTTATTCGGTTTTCTAGTAAAAAATACTTGAGCATTTAATGAAGAAATGCAAAAAATCTTTATTTTATTTAATTGAGAAATTGTTTTTTTTTATTGTTTCAAGCACAAACATCTGTATCTTGTTAGATGTGTGCTTAAAACAATTTTCTAATGGAATAAGATAATTCCTTTTCAAGATATAATTTTTTGATATTGTAAGACTTATTTTAATATATTATTAATTTTATAGAGTTGTTTGTAGTTTAGTTGTTTGGGGTCAGCAAGATTTTGTTTCATTTTTAAAGAAATTAATACTTTTATTCAGCAAGGATACATTAAATTAATCAAAAGTGACAGTTAAGACATTTATAATGTTACAAAAAGTTATATTTCAAATTAATTATCTTCTTTTGAACTTTCTATTTATCAAGGAATCCTAAAATCCACAAAAATATTAAGCAGTACAACATTGATAATAATTTTGTTTTTTCTTGAGCACCAAATCAGCATAATAGAATGATTTCTGAAGAAACATGTGACACTGAAGGCTGGAGTAATGTCAGCTGAAAATTCAGCTTTGCCACATTAACATTTTAAAAGTATATTAAAATAGGAAACCGATCACAGACTTCTTTCAAAAACATGAAAATAATCTCTATAGTAGTGTGTATAAATGAACAAATTTGCTTATCTAATTAATTTCTTTTTACTGCAAAACAAAACAATACTTTTTTTTTGGTCATTCTAGTATCTAGGTTTGTGTATATATTTGTCGTTGTGCATTAGAACTGCAAGGGTCTGCTGTAAGTGGTATATAGTATTTAGTGTCAAAGGTTATGGATATATGTGTTGCAGATCCCCGGTGAACTCTTCAAATGTAAGTTGACAAGAAGAAAATAACAGCCAATCCCATGTGAAAGCCCCTCTCCCTTTGAAGGTCTGCTCTGGCCCAGCCAAAGAACAATCTGGTAGTGATTGAGAAGATGACATCATCAGAAAGGTCGGAGTTGAGGTGGCACAAGAGAGAGAGATAAAGAAAGAGAGGAGAGTGAGCGTGTGTGCCTGTGAGCATGTGCATGACAATGAGGGAGTCACATGACAGAAGAAAAAGAGTGGAAAAATGAACCAAATGTGCTTTCTCAAAACACCATGTGCCTTTTGGCAGCTGTTGTGGCCTTGTGTGTTACTGCATGGACTGTGCGCGTGAGTGGTCCGTGATTTTGTTAACTGTAGGTTACCCATCTACACCCCCTTACACAATTCAAACACGCCCGCAATATTACAAAACAATATTACAAACGTCATTCTCAAATGAATAAATAGTCCTTAAGACACAAATGCCAGTCCTAGACTACAGTTCAAAAGTAGCAGCAACCTTGAAATTGATGCATTGGAGACTTGAAATGCACCTCGGCTAGACAATGGTGCACAGTATGAGTTTCCTGTTGTAAAGTCATCGATTTAAAGTACATTTGCAATTGCAAATGACATGCAAATGATGTAATTATCATTTGCATGTCTCAAAATAATCTCGAGATAATAGGAAAATTATATTAA